TGTACAGCTTATTTTCACTTGAATTTAAGAAAACTTCAGTGAAATGCAAGCCGTTGCCACTTTTACATACTTGTTTCATTACCAAAATATGTATTTGTTTAAGACCTCCCCAGGATTGTGGGGAACACTCAAAAGACTGGGGATCAATCTTAAGTATGTCTCGCAATCTTAGCATGTATTTTTCTCTGTCGTGAAGGATGAGAAAATTAAGTTTCTCACACTTTCTTCCACACCCATGCCCAGCATGTTGCTACTGGGATATTGTTTTTTCTGCCATGGTTTATAATTTACCTTCCCTTGTATATTGGATGCTAGCGCTGGGTTTCTTTGGAGGCACTGCCCCCCTCCAGTCCTGGGCTAACTGTGCCTCAGAGGCTCAGTTTAGGAGCTGGACAGGTTTCCTGTGACGCTTCTAACCCAGCCCCGGGCCTGGATTCTTCTGGAATGAGAAGACAGAGAACAGAAAAGGGCAGCGAAGAAATCCAACGCATCCCTTCTTCTTCTGCTGGAACAAATAAGCCCTCAAACACTGAAAGATGTTCCTTTCACTTGGATTTTTATGCAAAGCCCAGAAGTGGGCAGTCTAGGGCTGCTATGGCTGCCAACCAGGCCATTATGCCCCAGGTCGCTGCTTGTTTTCCACACTCTCCTCCTTCTCAAATTAGCTACCATACCAGCAAAAGAGGAAGAAGGGAAACCAAACAGCTAAAGGCCCAGTGACTCTCACCTACATTTCATTGGCCAGGACAGAGTCATGCCCACCTCTACCTGCAAAGGATGTTGGAAAATGTAGTTTTTAAAGTCAACCGGATGACAGAATGTTCATCACACCTGGGTCTGCAATAACAGCAACAGTCGCTCATGTACAGATACGAGTTTGACATGCCAGCTAGGGTCCATGCCCAGGGCTACCTGTTGTGAGTCCTCTGTAATGATACACAAAGACCTGGCCTCCCCACTTCCTTAGAAAGCACTCACTGGGCACAAAATACTCACTGTTTACTACATTATTTAATTCTCATAATAGCCTGGAGAGTCAGTACTAGCACCCCATCCTACAAACAAGGAAACAGGGACTCTAAGAAGCTAAAAACTCTCTTCGAGTCTCCAGAAAGGTACTGCAGTGCTGGAACTCAAATCTATGCTGATCTACTCCAGAGCTTTGAGCACTGGCCATGATTCCATCCTATGGCTCTGCCTTAGAGCTTTCCTGGAGCTTTATGTAAAGTCCAGACTCAAGACCCACTCCTCAGGGCATCCTATTTCATTGGTTAGAGGTAGGGCCTGGGAATCTCTGTATTTATATCATCTTATTTAATACCCACAACTACTAGAAACTGATTTTTTTCACCTTATTTCAAATCAAGAAAACTAAGAGCCAGAGAGGTGGACTCGCTTGGCCATAGCCACACAGCAAGTCCAACGGAACTGGGATGTGTGTTCATGTCTCCTTACTTTCTCCAGAGTCGTTCATGCTCCCAGAGAAAAGCAGCCTCCATAAAATGGGGGTACACAGGAGCAACCCTCTGCTGCACCCTCCCCCAGAGGCCTCCCAGGGAGTGCATGTGCACCAGGGGCAGGGAGCCAGGGGCAACTGGGGGATAAATAGCTAGAGAGATGCCAGGATGTCTGCAGGAAGCCGAGGTGTGGCTGGGCCGGGCGGAAACCGGACATGGGGATGCACTTTTTCCCCAACACAGCAAGCTATGAGTTTCCTCCTCCCCGGTGCAGCCCCGCCTGGTGTGTCAGGCCCAGAATGGGTCACTAGCAGGGACTGGAGGGCTAGCAGGTAGGCAGGGCTCCAGGGCCAGGCCCTGGAGGAAGTCACATGGCCGGAGTCACTGGCCTGACCCAGGGACACTGAAGGGAGGGAGAGGAAGAGCCCAGCCCACAAGATGACTAACCCTGGCTGAGATTTATCCTGAGGAAGACCTTGGGGTGGGACTGCGATAAGCGTCCTCCTCCCAAGGTGACCAAGAGCCAGTGACCAGCAAGGCACAGTGTGGCCAGGAGCACTCAGAGGAATCTGAGAAACCCACTCTCCAGGTGCTTGGCAGAGGTGACTTCTCTGGGATCCAGCACCAGGACAACCTTGGAAACAAATCCCCAGCTCAAGGGCATATGGTAGAGCTGGGCTGTGAAATGGATCTGTCTTCTCCCTCCTGCTGGCTGCATCTTCCAAGCAGGGAGCCAGGGCTGTCCAGGGGCAGATCCAGCCCCAGGCTCCAAGATTGGGACTGTCAAAGCTGCTCATCTTCAGGCCAGCACACCCTCCCGCAACCCTGAGAGCCTGCAGACCCTTTTGAGGAGACAGGCTCAGTAAGGGCGGCGGCCCTGTCCTTGCTTGAGCAGGACTCGAGGCCCGGAGGGCAGTGAGGTTCTGCCCTTCCCTTCTCTCAGACCCTCGGCCTCCACCCACTGGTTTCCCATCCATATGGAGAAAGGAGTCCTAGGCACAGCCGGCCCCACATGCAAGAGGCTCCCTGGAGAGAAGTGAGTGACTCCCTTAGTGTCCCCACTCCATGGGGACAGCATAGAGGCGGTGTAGCCCAGGGGAAAGGCTGGGCACCAGCGGGCACCAGCAGGAGCCCGTGTGGGCTGGCACTGGGGAGCTTCTGCAGGAGACCCTCCCTGGGGGTCTGGAAAGGAGCTGGCGTCTGGGTTTGTGACACTGACCCCGCATCCCAATCTCACAAGCTCATGGCCCACCGGCCACGCAGCAGGAGGAGAGAGCTGACATTGCACGGCCCTGATTCCAAAGATCCAGCTTTCCATGTCTTGGTGCCTCTTCCCCAGCGCGCTAACCTCAGAGCAAGCACGGAATCGTGGCCCTGGTGTGGCCCGCGGGGTGTCTAGAATGTGAGGCTTGAGCGGAGAAGACGTCCGTGCAGATGAAATCAAGAGGCCGTGTGACGCCCGACAGGCTGGCAGCCAGACCGCGACCTATCCCAAGGGTGGGAGACTGGACAGCCACGAAGTGAAGCGCCAGCCTTCCGGGAAGACCCACACCGGAGTCACTGCCCCACGCACCCAGCGCGCTCCCCTCCCAGCAGCCTCTGTCTGACGAGCTGCTCCTCCTCGGGGTCCTGTGCGTGTGACCTAAGTCGCTCACACCAGGCCAGGAGGGCCGAGCGGATGCCCCGGGACGGCTGCGTGGCGGTGGGCCCTCCGACAGGAGGCAGGCTCAGCAACAGGGCCCCTGCAGCTCCCAGGGCTGTGGGAAGACACAGGTCTCCTCTGGGGTCCGCTGCTGCAGTCCTCCCACACACTCAAGCAGGGACGCCGAGAGGACCGAACACCACTGGAAGGCTGCAGGCAGAGCCCATCACTACCCCAGCTCACAGACAGACGGAGGCGGAGAGAGGTGCTGTGAGTGACTTTCCCGGGGTCGCGGAGATAATGAACAGAGAAGCCGGGCCTGGAGGCTGGAGAACGCTGTGGCGGGCTCAGGGAAGCTCCCGGGATTTAAGCCGCCTTTCCGTCCATGTCCAGCAGGTGGCGCCAAGGCACCTGCCCAGCTGTGCACCTGGCCCAGGAAGGTTTGGCCTGGCTGAAAGGAGGAACCGCACCTGCTCCGGAGGGGGAACTGTTTCTTTCCAGGATCCAATCAAGGGGAGCAAGTGGGGAGAGAATTGCTGGGTAGGACTGGTCCTCCAAAATGAAGGAATAACTTCTGCAATGAGTCCAGAGTCACAAAATAGTTATTCACATCTCCATCTGGGTCTTACAATGAATCGGATAGTTTTCCTTTAGGGGGAGCTCAGAGTCCCCCAAGGACTGAATGACCTGAAGATTCCTAGCAGCGGAGAAAGTCCAAGTTCAAACACGCAAAAACTATCCAGTATCGCAAAGCTGACAAGCGGGGAGCTGAGGTCTAATCCAGGGTCAGCAGCGATGCCAAGCCCACAGTGACCCTGGACGGAGACCTCCGCTGACGAATCTCAGGTGTCCTGCCACAGCCTGGAGAGCTACTAACACCGCCACCTTGGTGCCAACACTGTCGTTCCTCTCGTGGTGTCCTGGGCTGTCTTCCTCACTAGATGACAGTATGACCGAGAGCTGGGAGGTTCCACACCTGAATCCAAGCCCTGCCCTGTTCTGCCTGTACAAATCTGGGACTTCACTTCAGCCCTCCATGACTCATGCTCCCCCTCTATAAAATCCCAGTGATCCTGACAGCAGGAAGAGGAAGAGCAGCCCTGGGCACCGAGCACCCTCAGAGAATCACGTGGGTCACTATGCCGAAGCTCTGCTGACTGTGCTGGCCACATGGCAGCACTGTCCCTGGGTGCTGTCACCGAATCAGTCCTCAGCCAGCTGCTCTGGGGCAGAGGCTGGCTCATTTGATCCCTCGACTGTCTCCGTGTTCTGCTCCTGAAAGCCCCTCCTGCTCTCACCCGCAGAAGCTCTCCACATTGGCCCCACACCTCTGGTGTCTGCACTACCCGCACCACTGTCCTTGGCCCTGAGGGTCCCCAACACCCGTGCCATGAACAAATCTGCTCTACAGTGCTGATGGCGCATGGGGAAAAGGCAGGCTGAGTTTGAGACACCCTGGAAGCAGACTGCCTTGGGCTGGGGCCGACTGCATCCTTGATGACCGAGGAGGAGGCAGGGGGGCCACAGAGATGTTAGCTATGGGGCTCAGGGCCTAAGCCAGGTCCTCTTGGGCTGAGGCATGGCCCTGGTCCTCAGGACTCAGCTGTGCTGACTTCTGGGTGAGGATGCTCCATGGCTGGCACTGGGATGATGTAGAGATGCTGCCACACACCTCTCTGGTGACTGGGCTGGGGTGGCTCCCATCGTGTGATCAGCGGGCAGAGGATCAGTGTGGCCTCTGTGTACTCCTGGGCTGCTCACAGCTCGCTGAGTCTAGGCTTCTACATGGTGGCCAGGGGAACAGCAGTGTCCCAGTCCTCAGAACAGACAGGGCTGCCTCTCTTCACCTGGGCTCACCGTTCTGCCAGCAACTCCTCTGTGGCTCCTTAGTGGAAACCGTCACACAGGGACACGTGAGGAGGTGAGCAGAAAGAAGCTCCGTACCACGGAGGACGGTGGGATAAATCACGGCTCTGCTCAGCTAACCCCACCCTCACCCAGCCCCACATCTACCTGCACCCAGTCAGGAGGCTGTGGTCTGAAGGCTCCAAGGTGCTGGGCACTCCCTGGTCTTGGGGGAGCCTGCCTAAGGCAATGGGACACAAGTCAGGGAGACCCCCTCCTGCTGCTCCATCTTCCCCCCACTGAATCTCAGCTGTGACACCCACACAGCCTTCCCTGCTGCGCACCCTCCTCCCCTTCCGCCCCTGCCTCCCTTCTCTCCAGCGAAGCCCACTGTGCCTTCCCCGGACCCATGCCCACCTCCCAGCCTTGGTACTTGCCACCTCCTTCCGGCCCAGCCCCCAGCCCTCAGTCCCTCAGGGCTTGGGCCCAGTGCGACACCCACCCCCTCTCCTGCCATCCTAAGCCAGGGCTGTGGGAAGTGGGTCTGCACACATGCGGCCTGTCTCCCCCCAAGAGTAAGCACTCCGGCTTTCTTGTTCCTTGTGTCCTTGGTTCCCGCCGTGGTGCCAGGACAGAGATCTGTAGAATGCGGATGGGTGTGGCGACAGGGGCTCCTCCGGGCAAGTCCCGAGCGTGTGTGTGTGTGTGTGTGTGTGTGTGTGTGTGTGAGAGATATAAGGCAATCTTGAAGGACAGAGTGCCTGGGAGGAAGAATGGATGGGGAAGACAAGGGGACACCTAACCGGCGACTTTGCGAAAACACTTTCACCTCCCGGAGCCTCGGTTCCTTCAGCCTGGGAACTGAGCCCAATACCCGCTAGCTGCCTCACTGGGGTGCGCGTCAGAGGAGAGGGTCCGCCCCTCTGGACGCGGGAGAATCCCCTCCAGCGAGTGAGCCCCAGCCGCGCTCCCCACAGCGCCCGCGAGGTGTCGCCGCGAGCGCAC